ACCACCCATACACCAGGCCTGCCTATGACATGAGATAGGAAACTATCGAGTAGTCTATTATTAAAACTGCCAATCAATGCTACATATAATGTATTAACAAAATTATGGGGTAGTATGATCTTGAGAAAGTTAATTAAGTGTTCACTAAATCATTATAATTCACATACCAAAACATCTCATTAATAATGATTATTATCATTCTCTCTTACTACAGGTTGACCAAACTATTATAATGTACAGTCAAAACAAGACAGCAGATCAAGTACACGCTGGCATTAGCAATCAAATGCTTAAGTATAAACACAGGAAGTGATGGGAAGACACTAAAACAATACATGCACACAATTATCAATTGACTTTCATATAATACCATTTAATTGGGCGAAGCCCATTCTGGTGAAATATTTCTGTATGTATGTGCGTTTAGGGGCATGACTGAGAGGCGTAGCTGGAAGGCAGAGTCCCTCAATGTTTTACATTCTTATTTCTAGTAATAAAAGTTAATGTTAATGTAAGAGGAATTCATTTCACACAAAAAAGAGAATGAAGTAGTAAAAAGGGAAATATTATGACAGTTGAGTTTGAACAATGTGAGTTACAGTACAGTGTGCATTGGGTGCTCTCTCTAAAGTCTATCATCTTCAGAGTCACTGCTAGACACATCATCCCACTGTGTCAATGGAGCATATATTTGTTGGATGACACTACTTTGAGGTTTCTTGAGTCGATACACACCAGCAAAAACGTAATAAATGACACTGAAGACAACAAGGAAGAACCCAAGCCATCCTATAGAGTAGTATGACCATCCTTGACTGGCTCCTTTGTTGGACTTCAATTCTTTTGTGTACACCAATAGACCATGCAATGAACCACAGGAAAGATAGAAATACATAATGTAATGTATAGGTGAAGGACGTACACCATCTGTCATTTTGGATCATAAATGGTTTAAAAAATTTTTATTGATAGAATCTACAAAATTTACCACCTTAAAATTTTGCACTGTTAACAGTAATGTACATACAAGCATTTGATGACACTACTATGATAGGCCTAAGTGTTATAAATATATGTACATGTACAACATTTCAATGCCACTATCAGTGTTAGCTACATGTACCTTGTATTCCAAAGGCCAGTGCAACTGTGAATAAGAAACGAGGTTTATGAGCTATCAGTGCTACCATACCAACAGCCCAGCCAATCAATCCTGACATTAATGACATACACAGCATTGCTCTTACACCAATAACAGCACCTGTGAGTCAGTGAAGTACATACAATAAATAAAAGGATACACATAAAGTGACCATAACAATCAACACTAGTAGTGACTACATGTAGTAGTGAGTGAGTTGGTTTACTAAATAAAAGTTACAAATTGGTAGCATTTTATTTTTAATGTTCTGAATTTTGGTGGCCATTAGTTTGTCATGACTATTACTCCATATAAATCATGAAATTTTTCGACTATAAAGTTTTGGAGCTACACATGCAGTAATCAGCCATTAGCAAAATATATTAAATAAAGGCCTTGAAATCTTTTAAAGTCTTCATTAATAATTATTGTTATAAGTTAGATTGAAGAATAATCATACATACATGTAACTAGAGTTACTATATAGTAGACTGACCCACTAGCCAATTCATGTACATTAACCTGATGGGTTTGATAGACCTTGACACTTTGTATTACTACAGTTCTGCCACAGACCCATATAACCATTCTCCCCCTAATAACAAGACACTCATTTGAAATCCTAGCAACTAGATTCCAGTAACTCACCAGGTACAGCCAATATTAAGGGCTACCAAAGCTAATAATATTCAATACTCCACAACCGAAGGATAAGAGAACCTCCAATATTCGTCTCAGACTCTGTGAGTGCTCCTTCCACCTCTTTCCTGCAAACTGCCATTGTTAATGTTAACACTTTCTTGTACATATTCATATAAAACGCGTAGGCATCTTCACTATGAAAATTTACAGTACTCCCAAAATTAAAGTTTGACTTTAAAAGTAATAATAATAATAAATAAAAGAAATTGGGGAATTTTACAGCATTAAAAATTAAAACATCTAATTTTCATACTGTTTGACTCTTTTTGACAATGACTCCAGATGAGCATCAGAAAGTTTATCTTTATATCTTTCCATGAGTTTTCGAGCAAATTCAATAGCAGGTTGAGTACCTTTCTCACTTAAGATATTTAAGAACAATAAAAAAGCAGGTTCCTTATTAATTTTAAGTGCAACTTTAACACGTTCCATTAATTCTTCCATTCGCTGATACTTATTCTGCCCAGTATTTGTATCAGTTATAGCACTCCTCTCTCTTTCATTGATCAGATTCATCTGAAGCAGCTTGCTTGCAATTTCAGAAAAATCATCAGAAAAATATTCCTTAATCTCCTCTGTGCTTTCCACAAGAACTTGATATGCAATATCTATATAATAAAAGTGTATACAGTATACTAAGTTTCATAATAAAATTCTATAGGTGTATTCAAACAGGATAGATTAAAAGCTATAGAACCACAATAATAGTATTCTAAGCAAAGTGCATAAGCCTATAATGCTGAACTCACTTGACTCCAGAACATCAGGTAAATGTTGTAACTCATCATCCTGTCGTTTTCCTATAATATCATAAACAAATTACAATATGCATTAAACACTCAACTCTATACCCTTACTTTTACTTGTCTGATCTAGCCAATTCAAGCAGTCAGGCATTTTTTGGGGCTCGTGGTCAATAGTACAATGAAAAACATAGCGATGTTTAGTTTTAAGCCATGACACTACAGCTGCATGCCTTCCTTTACCACAGGGACAGTAAAATGCTCTTTTTGGCTTCTCACACGTACTAAGTTTATGCTTAGACCTTGCTACATCAACTGC